AGATAGATAGATAGATAGATAGATAGATAGATAGATAGATAGATTGGCAATGTCATCTTTACTTGGAGGGTCACGATTACAGTCCCTTCAATAAACTACTTTTTTGAAACAACATTTGTCCTTATCTGATGAATACAAATGTTTCCAATATTAAAATATGACGTTTTAATTTTTATGTCTGAGTAAAATTAATCATTATCAATGTAGTTTTTTATTTGATGTTATTATATGGGTTTATAAATACAAAAAAAAATAATTGAACTATTTGTTATGCTTTTTGATATCAAATTTCCCTGGTTTATTTAGTCCCTAAATAGTCGAATGACGACAGAGGGAGTTATCTTTTTTTTTACAGGGGTGTATATTTTCTTGAAAAATGATTTCCCCTGCCCCCATCCCCCTTTTGGAAAAGATTTTTTTTCCCAGAAGCTTTGCATGTTTCCTTTAAAGGGATAAATTCGGTGAATTTGGGAAAATAAAAGAATTTTAGTGAAAAGTCCTGCTTTTCTTCCCCCCCCCCCCCCATCATCAAAAATCAGCCCCCCGGGGGGAGGGGGTGGAATTCTTAAAAATATACACCCTGGTTTGAAAGAGAGAAGTTTGGTCTTATTTTAACCATGTTTGTGTTTTTTTTTATGGCATGGAAATCAGGGGCGTATTCAGGAATTTGTCCGGGAGGGGGGGCTTACATTTTTTCTCTTTCCAGGGGGGGCTCAGCACCCGTTGGGACCTGAAAACCCCCTGAAATCAATAGATTTCACTGGCCCAGGGGGGGCTTAGCCCCCATAGCCCCCCCTGATTACGCCTCTGGTGGAGATATGTAAATATGAACAGTAAATAGTAAATAGTAAATATATCAAACTAGATTTTTGAAAATAAGTTTATGTTTTACGTGGAAACCGTTAAAAGGGACCCAAAAAAATGAAATAAACAAAAATTTAGATATAGACAAATTATAGCACTATTTTTTTTACTTCTGGAGCCAAACAAATAGAAATATGTATGTTATAAAATGTATTCATAAATGTACTCTTTGTAAATTTCCGAAAAAATAAATATAGGAGAGCAACTTTTTACTTTACATTTGCCTTTAATTTTGCCAATTATTTTAATTTTGCCGTATATAAAAATAAGGAAGTAAGGTGGTATTACCAGATAAAAAGAATAGAGCATGAAGTTCTGTAATGGAGTTTAAAGAAGTTAGAATCAATGTCAGCTTTAGCTCCTCTGTACCATAATAATAATAAAAATAATAATAATAATAATAATAATAATAATAATAATAATAATAATAATAATAATAATAATAATGATAATAATAATAATAATTATGATAACGAAATGTTATCTTAATTAAATAAATTTATAGTTTTTTATTTGGGACAATGTGCATTTTTACTAAATCTTATTTGATAAAATTAGAAAAATCTGAACCTAAAAAGAAACTGAGCAAACTCACACATTGACATATAATAACAAAAAGACAATTGTATAAATAGATAATATCAATAATAATAAGAAAACAAACATTTCAATTTAATTCTTGGAACATGATCGATTTACAACGGTATGAGCTTTTTCATTGCGAATCTATGCAGCAGAGACAAAATAGAAAAATTGCCAGAATTCAACACTTTTCCAGATGGATCATTGTTGCTAGATAAAGGGTACTTTCAAGGGATTAATCAGGGGATGACTTTAAATAACGTGAACAGTCCTTTTAAGAAATTTTACTGTTGATTCATGAGGTTTAGAACACTATACGTGACTACTCCTAATCAGTCGTGGCATTGAATTAACATGTTATTCTGAAGAGCAGGAATAAAACACGGGGGGGGGGGCAGCCGTGGTACATTTGAATTTCAGAGCCGGGTCAACCTTTCCGGTCCCATTTTGTACTGTATTGCCTGGACATTAAGTAAATAAATCAACTAGCACCGTCTAATTCAATAGTATTAGCCAGTGCAACAAGGTTGACGCGGTCAGACTTTAGGTTGAATTTACTTTTACTAAAGGGTCAGGGGTGCGTGGGGGGGGGGGGAAACTTCCGAAAGGTATTGTAAGCGTAGTTTCAAGTGACCCTCCATGCAAAGATGGCAATGCCCGATTCACAACGGTACTCCTGAAACCTTTATCTGATCAATATTGAGGAAGATAATGTCGTTTCACGAGGTCTAATTTTTTCCTGAAGTATAAAAGCCACTTTTGTAAAGGAACCCTAGATAAAATTAAACAATTATAAACATCATATATAATTCATACTTGATCAGACAGCTTTAAGGGAACCGTTGTGAATCTTGCATTGCTATCTTTGCATGGAGGGTCACTTGAAATTATGCTTACTGTCCCTTTAAATAAAACAATAATTCACCTTGATTAGTCCAGCCACTGGCATCAACAGTCCCATTACCGCCATTTTGGATTCACTTCTTTTACTGAAATATTTTCAAAAAATATCTTTCTAAATCTTTAGAATATAATATAATATACAAAGATAACCAGAAAACTGTAGAATAGGAAGACGACATTATATCAATACTGACAAGTATTTGATGTTGTTACAAAGCAAATAGCTTTACTAGTAAGTTATCAAATCACTTATTAAGTAAAATGGGTTTTCAAAAATGCACAAATGTTCATTGGACTGTTTATCTTAAGTTTAAAAGTCGACTTCCTATTCCAGAGTTTTCTGGTTCTGACTAATATAATATAATATCTAATATTTTAAACACATGAAAAGTATCAGATCTCCGGTATTATGATAACGACACAAAATATATAAAGAAGCTGTTTTGAATATTAAAGCCTTTTGAAAAATGTTTTACGTTTAACTCCGATGTTCAAAACGCAGTTCTCTTCAAGTTCAAATATCGTTCTTAACTTAAAAAAAAATCCTTTAAAAATGACCGTTATAAACCATCTATGGCAATGTTTCATGAAAAAAATCATTTTAACACCATTTGGAGATGTTATTTTTGGTAGTAGACAACATAATCTTGTTAATAACTATAATCTAAGTAAAATATTTTTAAATTCGTGTCTGAAGTCTTATTCTATGCGTCGTAATTTTGAGACACTTCAACCTGTAGAACCATAAGGCACAAGATAAAATTATATGCGGAATTTATGGTACGACTTTGGTACACCAATAGTTTTTCACTTTACATCCAAAATAACTTATTTGTTTATAACAATTAGTTTATTGACACGCAACAGTTTAATCTTAAAGGAAAGGATTTGAGTCATTGCAACAAATTCTGATTTTTAAAGATCCTTTATCTTTGCAACCTAATGTGGTAGACCTCAGATATTTCAAACTATGAATTCTGTTAGATCAAAGTTTGAAATATAAAATGTTTACACCATCAGGTTGCAAAGATATGATTAGAAAATTTGAGTTCGTGGCAAAGACTCAATTTCTTTACTTTAATTCAATGTGGAGGCTGTAGTTTAAAAAAGACGACCTGTGTACTGTGTAGAAATGTACTTTTGCCTAGAAATATACCCGTAAAACTAGAACTAAATTTTAATCTAATTAAGATTAAAATTAAAATTGAAATCAAAATAAAAAAAAATTCTTTTAATAATTAAGTAATTAAGGAATTAAGAAATAACGTCTTTGCAATTCAAATTTTAAAATTTTTATGTTTTTTACAACCTGAATATTTAATATGTTTGAAATAACAGAATTCATAGTTTTAAATATCTAAGGTCTGCGTTATTGATTTACAAAGATATAGGGATATGAAATTCAGAGTTTGTGGCAAAGACTCAACTCTTTTTTTTTGTTATTTGATGAAGAGTAATATAACTTATTAATATAAAAAACCACGATTTTTTCACACTCGACGGAAAATTATAATATTATAGTTTTTTTCAGGACTAACTTCCCCAAACCACATAGTCATAAAAAACTCGAAGCATTTCGAATTTACGAACATTTTGTTCAAAAAATACAAACGTTTTATTCGAAATAACGCACATTTTGTTAAAAATACAACATTTTGTTGAAATAACGCACATAATCTCAGGAATATCAAATTTGTTGAGATATTCCTAACATTCTTTACAAAATGCTCTCGTAAAGTCAGATATTATTAATAAA